GCTCCGCGCCGCCCCCCGCCCGCTCCGCCGGCTGCACTCCTGCATCTCGCGGGGTGTGCGGAGAGGCTCCTGCGCTGCAATGTCCCTCCGACCCTGAGCCGCCCCGGTCCCTCCCTCTAGGCTGGCGCTAACGTCACGCTGTCTGCCTCCCCCTCCCATGCCCGGCAAGGCCCCAAGCAGCCCGCCAGGAAGGGGAGGGAGTTGAGAGGCCACGCACCTGGGGAAGGGCTGTTTGCGCCAGTGAAGTGTGAAATAAAAGCCCCCGCCCGACTAGAGGCTTCGGGGGGTGGGGGGGCTCGTGGATACAGCTGGTCCGTTTCCATGGAGCTTGGCACTAATACTGAGCAAGATGTTGTTTGTTTGTTTCTGCTGGCATCCGAGTTAATGAGGTCACAGACAAATATGTAGCGCTTGACATCTTCCAAGGCCTGTATGGAGCAGGGACCCACCCTTTTCAGCGGCATGGGATGAGTCTGCCAAAAGCCCTCAGCTGGGCTTGGCCCACTTCTGGCACTCCTCTAGGGAGTCCCAGCCCAGTGCTCCTGGGCTTTTGAGGGGACCTGGCAGGAGCAGTGAGGCTTCAGACTTCTCCCTCAAAACAAGAATCTGAGGGCAGAGGCTTCCCTGCTGCCACCTCAGCTAAGAGCCTGTCTGGGGATGTAAGCGACTAGGTCACAACCAGATATGCATATCCAGTAGTCTAGCAGTGACTTGACTAGTCACTCTCCCACCCCTTCCTTGCTGCCTCTACCATAGAGGCAGCAAGGGGGGAAGCAAGAGCCAGTGCTGGGAAGGAGCTGGCTTAAAAGCCAGTTCCCCCCCAGCACTATCTGGGGTGGGCAGGGCATAAGCCTGGAATCAGCATATTCCTGGCTTGTGCCAAGTCCCAAATGGCGGCTCCAAGAGAGTGACGGGGCAGCGAGCCCCGGGAGCCACTGATGCCCCTCCTGCTGGCTCCGCTTCGTCCCTGGGAGCTGCAGGCATCAGCAGCTCCAGGAGAGCGACAGGACAGTGAGCGGGGCCGGGCGCCCGGGAGCTGCAGGGGCCAGGGCCAGGCAGGGATGGGGACCAATCAGGCCCAGCTACAGTAGAGTCCCTATCATCTGACATTTTTGGTATTCCGATCACCTGTCGGTCCTGTTTAGGTCGGATGATAGGGACTCTACTGTATTAAGAGGTTGGCAGCTCTTAATGCATTTAAACAGCAGAGCTGCAGCAGGTTAGCTCCAGCACTGGGAGCTAACTCCACTGCCGCTCTGCAGTTTCCTCTCTTATTGACTAAGTGAGTAGGAATGGAAATCCCATCACCTACTCAATTAGCTGCTTACACACAATTTAACATTCCTAGACCTGTCAACTGATGCACGTCTTAACATCTTACAAGTGGGTCAGAGGGTGTTGACAGGTGTCCCTCTATGCATCTAGAAGTCCAGGCAGAACAGTTGCCCTCATAATCTTGGCTGATCCAGGAAAGTTGAAGAGTGGCCAAGTGAACAGCAGCAGCACATGGTAATGGAGGTCCCCATCCTCTGGCAGCTCAGAGGACAGCTGGCAATGGCAGTTAGCTCAACCCTCTCCATTCTCAGCCACCTAGAAGAGGTAGTGGTCATGCAGTGGAGTCCCCCCACTCCTCTCTCAGCTGCCCAGAGTAAGGAGCACCTTCTAATGATATTGTGTTATTGGAGCTCATGTGCATGTTGAACTAGACACAGACATATTGGTTAATCGGAACCTGCCAGCAAATACTAAGTTATTCACAGTGCCCCATATAAATGCTTTTTTCCAGGTAAGGAAGCTGAGGCAGAAGTGACTTGAACACAACCAGACAGTGAATTGATGGGATGCCAGGGCTAAAATTTGGAAGTAAGAAACTTGATTCCCATCACATATTCAGACTTCTAGACACTGCTGCCTTTGATTTTTCTTTTAAGTTTGCATACATTATGTCAAGGGTGTATAAAAATAGGATGATGGGTACCTTTGAGATGCATCTTTCCCTCACCACAGAAATGGTCCAGAATATCACAATTTAAAATTCTATGGCATTTATGGAGATTAAAAATACTGTAATTTTTGTGTGTGTTTTTATTGAAGAACAACCTCAATATGTGCTCCTGACTGAGGAATAAAGTTATTTTTAAATAGTTTTCCAAGTCATTACAATTTTCCCCTAATATCAAGCTTTTAGTCTCTCTGCTTGCAAAGCAATTTGTCATGTTTCCCAATCCATCAGCCATGTCATGCAGGCCAGCTGAATACATTTGTTTTCTAGTTTTTCTCTTCCAATATCATCACTGGTCACATACCTAAAGGTTAAAATCACCATTTCTGTTTTTCTTCATCCTGAAAATATCTTTCAGATTTTGGCATCTTTCTCCATGATGGGCTAAAGCACCTAAGCTACAGCCACAACAAAAATTTCATTTCAATTCTGATCTGAATGGGACCAATAAATTATTGGAAAATCTTTTAAAATGCATAATAAAATATCAAATTTAATCTATTAATTTTATTAAAAAATGTTGATTCAACATTTTCCAAAGTGATAAACTGAGATGAAGACTTGAAATTACAAATCGGTAGCTGTATTATGCCATTAGTTTTTAAGTAAAACTCGACCCCTTGAAATGACTGTGAAGTTGAAAAGAAAAAAGTTGATACTATATAGTTCTATTATTTGTAAAAGAAAAATTTATGTAGTGCAGGCCCAGATTTTACCAACACTTTTCTCATCTGAAGCATTGTTCCTCAGAAAAACAGCAGAAATGAGAACTTATTTAAGAAAACAAAGACAATTCAAAAGAAAGGTAGCTGCAAGCACTAAGGCTGCTATTTCAAAAGAAAGGTTTTATATACAGGCAGTCCCCGGGTTACGTACAAGATAGGGACTGTAGGTTTGTTCTTAAGTTGAATCTGTATGTAAGTCGGAACTGGCATCCAGATTCAGCCCCTGCTGAAACTGATCAGTTTCAACAGCGGCTGAATCTGGACGCCAGTTCTGACTTACATACAGATTCAACTTAAGAACCCCAGGCGTCCCCAAGTCAGCTGCTGCTGAAACTGATCAGCGGCTGATTCCAGGAAGCCCGGGGCAGGGCCTTCCTGTAGTCAGCCACTG